ATCATCATCATCACTATTATCATCATCATCACCATCACTATTATCATCATCATCACCATCACTATTATCATCATCATTGATAAGCATATCATCATTGATGTACACCATCACCATTATCGCCATCATCATCATTATATCTTCATCATCATCGTTGATACATCATGCATGCATCGATACAAATTATCGACATCGTCTTTGCCATCATAATCATCACCATCACATCCTCATCGATACGCATCCTCATCCTCATCATCGTCATCGTCATCATTATCATCAAATTAATCATCGATAATTTTCAACATTCTGAACATCTTCACCATTAGCATCACATCCTCATCGATACGTATCCTCATCATCATCATCATCGATCATCTTCATCATCATCCTCATCACCAACATCTTCATCCCCATCATCATCATCATCATCATCATCACCATCGCATCTTTATTTTCATCATTATCATCGTCACCACTACCACCACCATCATATTATCATCGATGATCGTCATTATCGTGATCATCATAATTATCAATATTATGACTATTCCCAGGTATTTAAACAAGAATCAGTTAACTTCATTGCTTGCTGGAATACTTCGCAACAACCGAAAACTCTACTACTTGTGAGTACTTTCAACATCCTGGCTAAGTATCTTCCTCTCTTTTGTCATAAAATATTTATCATTTGGAAATTACCTAACATACTAGGATTCATATTTAATTTATTATATCGGTGTTACATTTTATCGCAAACATGTCTAACAGGTCATTTTCCTTTGCGTTTCATCCTGTATCATGCATTCTTGGAGTAATTCAACGTTCAGCAGGTTTCTCTTTGGTTTAAAACACCGTAAGGAGTCTTGCACTTTTTCTCTTCAGGAATTTAAGTATCAATCAACTGAAATCTTTGCCTGAAGGAATCTTTGATGCTCACCAAAATCTCGCTTATTTGTAAGTATTCTCTACTTTCACATCCCCATAATGCCTTGAGTCTTTGGGGGGCAACCAATCAAAAAACTGTCCCAAATTGAAAGGTTACTTGATTGAATTTATACTATACCTGCTTTTATCTGAACAATACTGATTATCAGTTTATTCCAAGTAATTTTTGCGTGTACAGATCATCAAGAGTTTTGGTCTTACAGAAAATGTATTGACTTACGAAAAAATGTTTAAAATTTACCTTAAACGTCTTCAAGCTTCTATCTTTTTCTCTTTTTTACTTCTTCATTTTATTTTTGGATACCAAACAAGGTATTGTCAATATTGTCTGATCAGCCTTCAGCAAAATAAGTGGGTTTTTACCCTTTGGTTACCCCCCAAAGACGCAAAGTATTATGGGGATGTCGACATTGTAGTGGCTAAAACCTCGATTTTTCTTTTAGAGGGAATTTGTAATTCGTGCAATATAACAACAACAAATTAAAACATCGGTGCGTGTGATGTGGCACATGGAACTTGGAACTTTTAATCACTAACTCGTAGTCTTCAACATGCACGAATTTCTTTTTCGTATATTCTGTTTTCCCATTTCAGACCACGTTTCATTCCCTAGAGTATCATTCCTTTGTTTTACGGATGCGCATGACAAGACACATGAATCTGGATGCAACTCAAACAAACAATCTTAATCTCGAGAGAATGACACGTGGTTTGAAATAGGAAAACATTACGCCCAAGGTAAAGAGGACTATTATCGTTTCTATATTATCCATGATATGAGGATACATTCTTATCTGCTTTCTATTACAGATATTTGTTTGGCAATCACTTGATTTCGCTACCGGCTGGAATCTTTCATAACAACCCAAAACTCTCTGCTTTGTGAGTAATGACTGAAAGTTCAACCATGGCAGCATTTTTATAGAAACATTTCCTTAAATGAATAGAAAATCTCGCGTAGCACGCGCCGTGCTTTTCCTAAGCTGCTTGCTTGTTCATGCTTTATAACTGAACACAGCAAAGCAAACAGCAAAGCAAACAGCAAAGCAAACAGCAAAGCAAACAGCAAAGCAAACAGCAAAGCAAACAGCAAAGCAAGCAAGTTTTGTTTCTTTTATGAAATAAAAGTACGAAAGTGAACTTTGAACAAATGAATGATTTGAAATAGTAATGAAGAAATAGAAAGCGCGCGCGCGTGCTGTGTGCAGTTATAAAGCACGCGGGGGTTGGCAGAACATGGAAAAAGTGATAGGAGAAGCACGACGCGTAGTGGAGTGCTTCTCGACACTTCTCGAGTGTTATGCCAATCGTCCTCAAGTGCTTCATAACTCCACACACTACAGCAAGAAAGGTTTTTTATTTCTTTTAAAGAATACTATGTTTCTTACTTCTAAATGTTACTTATGGAAACTGACTTCCATGGAATCTATTTCAGGGCCTTGGATAATAATCGCTTAAAGTCGTTGTCCATTGATCTCCTTAACAACAACACATTTCTGAAATCACTGTAAGTCCATATAGCTCTAAAAAAAATGAAGACTGGAAAAACCGGTTTGAGAAGGTTGTTTCTTCCCTCATCCCTTCCTCAATTTACGTCATTCGCCTCACACAACGACTAATTTGTTTCCCTGTTCGCTCTTTCTTTTTCTTATTCTTCCGTAATTGTGGAGGGATGTAAGGTGATCTTACAGCGGTTTTCGATATTCTGCGAACTCAGACATTTCAACGGCTTGTTATGAAGTTGTTTTTTCGCTGCCGCCAGTCAAGAACATAAAAGGTACCGACTGATTACTTTTAATTGTCGGCAGCCAAAAACCAAATTTCAGGGTGAAGCTTGCAACTACCGAGGTTGTACAATATCGAAAATTGCAGTAATATTTGAGCTCGCACTAACAATACTGACACTATCCCTACAAACACCTTTGCTTACAGACTATATGCCTTCATTCTTTGATTTCCTTTCTTACGCAATATCATTGACCTAATTTAATCAAACAGATTTTGCCCCCTCTGGATTTTGATTGGTTATAAAATGTTCAGATATTCAATTCCTATAACCGTATTATATGTATTGTTGCTCACAGTTCATTGGATAATAATCAACTAACGTCACTGCCTCCAGGATTCTTTGATAGAAGTAAATTGCTCAGGGGATTGTACGTTCAAGGATTTATTGCACAATTGTCATAGGAGTATCTATTAAATAATAAGTTTAAAATGTTATTTATTTTATTTTATTATTATTTATTAGATTGTTATTAGTATTTTTAATCTCTATTTATTTCATTATTTTTATTAAAATTTATTTTAGTGTTTTTTATTTTATCATAGAGGTATTTATTTTTCAAAGTTTTTCAAAAAATTGCAGTATAAAACACGCATTTACACTACATATTTTTATACGATTTTACTGAGTCGTCTGCTACTAATACCAATATACCAATAATTTTCTGTTCCTTTATGCAGGTCTTTAAATGGGAATCATCTGGATTCATTGTCTGATGGGATTTTTAATAACAACGAACAGCTCAAAGATTTGTAGGTATTTATGACCTAGAAAGTAAAAGGAGGTGCTGATGTACCTTAAGTCATTTAAAATATCCTTAATAAATGTTTACGCATTTTCTTGACTAGCTGCTTTGCGAAACTTTGTAGTCTTTATTCGTTCTTGTTTTCTTCCTTTTTTTTTTTTTTTTTTTTTTTTTTTTTTTTTTTTTTTTNTTTTTCGTTTTACTTTTCTTTCCTTTTTCTTCCCTTTTTTCCTTTTTTGAATTCATTCCCACTCCTCTCTTTACCGCCTCTCTTCTTTTTGCCATTTCTTTTAATCAATTTTCCTTTATCTTTCTTTTAGGCATCTACATTTGAATCGACTGACTTCTTTGCCAGATGGGATTTTTCGTAACAACCAACATCTTACTAAAGTGTAAGTATGGAAAATTTTCCTCTTATTCTAGAAAACCAGCAGTTCAGTCTCTCTTCTTCGCCTTGCTGTCACGTGACAACGGTAACCAGTAGAACGCTAGCCTCTTCTGCATAATTAGCCGAGTTTTCCATTGTTGCTAAGATACAAGTTGTCTCTTTAAAGGAAGTTGCCCATAGAAATGATGTAATTTTTGATGATATGAAAACCGAACATTTTACATGCCATATAAAAGAGTAGTAGCAAGGCATTACAATTCCAAAGCTGCTGGATTAACGGAGATTACTGGCTCTGTTTTTCAGGTATTTAACTTCCAATCCGATAGCGTTCCTTCGTCCTGGTGTTTTTCGTAATAATGGCCAACTCAGTGTACTGTGAGTGCAAGGAAAACAAATATTGTTAAATTATCTTAGCAATATTTGGGGCATTCTGTGGTAAATGTAAATGTGACTGATAGATGTATAATTCCTCATAGAGTGAAGTCATTAAACCCGTGAAATAGATATTTGACTAACACCCTTTTTAAGCTTTTTCTTTTGTGTCTATTTGACTATTACACGTTGACTAGTAATTTTTGTTTCACGGGTTACTGCGATTTCCAGTCACACGCGACCAACTAGACCTTCATCACAAACGAARAAAAATTGAGTTTTCGTGGACGTCAATCAAAAGGGTTTCTATCATTTCTATTGGTTTCTACACCGGGACTGATGTGAATACTCACGTGTACACGTGCAAAAGTGCAAAACCCGTTGCCCTTAGGCCCTGACTAAACGAGGGAACATGTTTCCCTAAATGTTTCCTAAGGTGGCAAAGCTGTTAGGAAACAACGGGGAACAATGTTTCCATGCGTCTTGGAGACATGAAATGTTTCTGTCGCATAGTAAAAACATTTTTTGCGTTTTTTTTCAGTCCCCCTCTGCCATACAATATGAATGCAACCTTAGTACCTATAGAGAGCTTATACTATACTTAGTATTATCATAGTAGTCAGTGGTGGAATGTCTTGTTCCCAAGATCGATGCCGGGCGTTATTTGTGGGCCTCGGTTTTAAGACACATAAGGGTCGTGTCAATCAAACGTCGAAATTGTCGTTCACATGGTCCGCACGCACTGAAAGCAATAGAATAGGGGGCCTTCTTTGATTTTAATAGGTTCGGCTCATGTGAAGTTCAACTTTTGTATTCGGACAGAAGTAAGCTGGAATTTATTCAAGGAAGAATATGGTTGATGAAACACAATTACACATAATTAATTAATATTTCGTTTTCAGGTTATTGAATGATATGAAGCTGAAGTCATTACCTTCCGGAATCTTTGATAACAACAAACAATTAACGACAATGTACGCTTAAATTCTTAACCTATTGTTATCAAATAATTATGTAAAAAATAGGCTACACTCTTCCTAGGCGAGGCGATCGTCATTATGTGTGAATCACAGAGCGCCGAATTGAAGAGGACTGGCAATGAATGAGTTATAAGGTTCATTACTTGATTACCGATTGGTAATATGTGAGGTTGCTGTTGCTGTTTCTCTTAAAACAAAATATATATGACTTCTGCAAATTCGTATGCTCCAGGGGTCAAGTGTGTTTAATGGCTTTAGGGTCACACTTCCTTCCCATTGATAGGTATCATATATCATATCTGTTTCTTATTGCAGTTCATTAAAGAATAATCAGCTGAAATCACTTCAAGCAGGACAATTTGATAACAATGATCAACTCAACTTACTGTAGGTCTTAAAAAAATCGCCTGTTCAACTACCTACCTACCTACCTACCTACCTACCTACCTACCTACCTACCTACCTACCTACCTACCTACCTACC